AAGTGTGTGGGATTCTTACACTTTTCATGATCTCACAATAACCTCTTTTTTTCCTGAAATTTCCACCTTGGTTAACCTTTACTCTTACCTCAAACTTAATGCCAATGAAGAGTATATGTGGAAGCTTTAAATCATAGATTTCAATTCTTTGACTGCCTTGTCTTCAAGATCAAGGTTTGTGTTCCCTCCCTGGGAATCCAGGAGGGCTTGTGGCTATTTTGACTGATTTGTCAGAAGTGATGTCATATGACTTCTGAGACTAAATCATAGGCCATGTAGTTCCTGCCTTGGTCTCTCGGAAAGCTCATTTCTAGACATTCCCTCTGGAGATGTTCCATCTAAGAAGTCAGGCCCCATTATGTAAGAAATCTAAGCCACATAAAGAGTTCAGGAGTAGTGAATCTGGTCAATAGATTATTTAGCTGAGGAAAGCTTTGAGTAACCCGATGACAGGGGGTATACATGTGAGTGAAGAAGCCGACTTAGGTATGGATCCTCCCACTTCAGATGTTTGAACTCATAACATGTCAGTCACCTTATCTCTTAAACTTTGCAATTCATGTCCCAGATGTTGTGGAGCAAAGTCAAAATATCCCTAGTGTGCTTAATCCTGAATCCTGGACCACAGCGTATAATAAAATGGTGTCATTTTATGCTGCTAAGTTTTTGAGTGGTTTGTTATTAGAAATGAATAACTGGACCATTGCATATAGCCTGGCCCATTCTCTCTAGATCCTGCTCTCTGATAGAATATGATAGAAAATACCTATGACCATCAGGTATGTCTCATGCATTTTAACCTAGTTAAAAAATAAGAAACTTTTTCTACAAAGTAACCTACTTGTTAAAGATTTCAGGCCGAACATTTATAAAATTTTACTGCAGAGCATTTTAATAAGTAGGACTAGTCACTCCCTTTAGAAATTTCTAAGGATATAGAAAAGAATACAAAAGTAAGTCCTAAGAGATATGAAGAAAACAAAAATGAGAATATGAAGATAGAGAAATGTTTTGAGATTGACAGTATTAAAAATAAAAGCTTTCTATTGCAAGTTTTTGATCTGAACAGGTGAAACTTACTTTCACCATCAAGGGGCAGTTGGATTTCAGTTGTATTTTACAAACTACGCTTTTCAAAGTAATGGTTCCCACAAGGTAGATGTAAATTTTATTTACATTCACATACACAGTGATGGTTAAATATTTGTCTACATGTTACTATGAAGGTGTTTTTTGATGTAACATCTACAATCAGTTGACTTTCAAGATTACCTTCAGTAACTTGGGTAGGCCTCATTTAATGAATTGAAGACCTAAAGAGAAAAAAAAATAAAGCTTTCCAGAGAAGGAATTCTGCCTCAAAAATGTGACTGAAATCCCTGCTTGATTTTCCTGTCTGCTAGCCTGTCTTCAGATTTCAGAATTGCCAGCCCCCTACTTGAGTGAGCTGATTTCTTAAAATCATTACCTCTGTCTCTGTCTCTATCTCCATCTGTCTTTACCTATGTATCAGTCCATTTATCTACCTATCATTATCAGTAGGATATATGTGTGTGAGTGTATGTGTGTATATATATGTATGTGTGTACTGTGGATTCTGTATCTCTGGAGAACCCTAAGCAACAGACACACTTAAATAAAATATACATGTGCATATTTATACATATATGCATATATACACATGTACATACATATACAAGAACTGAAATTAAATAAGTTTGGAAAACACTGAGCTAAGTCAATATCTGTAACAGAAGAATTTCTCTAAAAGTTGCCATTGATGTCACCATATTTCATCATGTATACAGTGTTTCTCAAACTTGTTTTTGAGAACTCTTGTTGGAACTCTTGTTGCAAAGCATCCTCTAAAACTTGTGTTACATAGAAACATTTTGGACTTCCTGCAATGGATTTGCCACCAGAACACAGGTGTCCTGAGGATGACCCCTAAAAGCCAAATTGGAAAAGAATAGAGTCATATCAGTGTCATCATCACTGGACACACAGATTTGGGCCAGTCCATCACTGCTGGCCATCTGATATACACATGTGGTGGCACTGACAAAAGAACCATTGAAAAAGTTGAAAAAGAGACTGCTGAGATGGAAAAGGCTCCTTCAAGTATGCCTGGGCATTGGATAAATTGAAAACAGAGCGTGAACATACTGCATCATCCCACCTCATCCAACTGACAAGCCCCTTTGCTGCCTCTCCAAGATGTTTCTAAAATTGGCGATATCGGTACTGTCCCTGTGGGCTCAATGGAGACTGGAGTTCTCAAGCCCAGCACAATGGTCACCTTTGCTTCAGCCAATGTTAAAATTGAAGTAAAATCTGTTGAAATGCACCATGAAGCTCTGAGTGAAGCTCTTCCTGGGGACAATGTGGGCTTCAATGTCAAAAATACGCCTGTCAAAGATGGTCATTGTGGCAAGGTTGCTGGTGATAGCAAAAATGACCCATCAGTGTAAACAGCTGGCCTCACTGCTCAGGTGATTATCCTGAACCAACCAGGCCAAATCAGTGCTGACTTTGAATCTGTACTGGATTGTCACACAACTCACATTGCTTGCAAGGTTGCTGAGCTGAAGGAAAAGATTGATTGCAATTCTGGTAAGAATCTGGAATATGATCCTAAATTATTAAATGCTGATGATGCTGCCATCCTTGATATGGTTCCTGGCAAGTCCATGTGTGTTGAGAGCTTCTCTGACTGGCCTCCTCCGGGTTGTTTTGCTGTTTGTGATATGAGACAGACAGTTGCTACGGGTGTCATCAAAGCAGTGGACAAGAAGGCAAGGTATTGCCAAGGAGCTGGCAATGTCTTGCAGGTCTGTTCAGAAGGCTCAGAAAGCTAAACGAATATTATACCTAATACCTGCCACCCTAGTCTTAGTCATTGGTAGAAAACATTCTCAGAACTGTTTGTTTCAATTCGTCATTTAAATTTAATAGTAACAGACTGGTTAATTATAACAATGCATTGTTAAACCTTCAGAAGGAAAGAATGTTTTGTACCATTTTGATTTTTTCTGGTATGTGGTCATTTTAAGTAATTCATTTTAAAAATCAGTACTTTTTAATGGAAACAACTTGACCAAAAATGTGTCGTAGGGTTTTAAGAACCATTAAAACAAAATTTAATGAGAAAAAAATAAAAACATTTGGGAAATTCTCGGTTAACATTTGAGGGAAACAGAGAAAACTTGGAGTGGCTACCACAGGGAGGTGAATGAAGAGTCAAAGAGGGGTAAGTCAAGTGTTTTTTATGAAGCACCCGTAACTTAGATATTTTATGTATCACAAATATTGTAAATTGGTTAGTCTATTTTATTTGCTTTCTTTACAGATAAAGTAGATATTGAAATATACAAAGTTTTTGGTGTTAGCAAAAGTTAGAGGTGAAAATCAAGAGGGTATGGAATACTAAATCATTTTAAAATTATGTGTATAAATGGTCAGACCACAGAAAGATTTTCTTCCATTTATCCATACTATTTACCTAGGCCAGAAAACTGGCAATTTTATCTAAATTTCTCCCTCATGATCTCATATCAGGTGGGTGGCAAAAGCGTATCATTACACTTCTTAATTTCACTGATATCTATATCCTTGCCTCAATCTTTATTGCTTTAAAAGGGTCCAATTATTTCCAAGTTACATTTAAATAATAGCTTCTATGTTTTAATGTTTGTGCCCATGCCCCACCTTGTCCCTGTAATTCATATGTTGAAATTCTAACTTTCACACTGACATTAGGAAGTGTGGCCTTTGGGAGATGATTAGGCCATGAGGGTGGAACATTCATGATTGAGATTATTGCCTTTATAAAAGCATCCCTTGGGAACTGGCCCATCCTTTCCATCATGTGAATACACAGCTGGAAGGCACCATCAATGAACCAGAAACAGGGTCCTCATCAGACATTGATTGCACCTGCCAGTGCCTTGATCATAGACTTCCCTGCCTCCACAGTGGGAAGAATAAATATCTGTTGTTTATAAACCACTCAGTTTATGTATTCTTGCTATAAAAGCCCTAATGAACTAAGACAATAGCCTTACAGGTTCTCCTCAGTTCAATCATCAAAGGATTCTCCTTGCTGTAGGCAACATGATATTCTTAGAAAATGAATAGGATTTAATTACTGGGAGGATTAAACCTGTTACTTTAATGATATGATCCAAACTCAGATGGTCCATGATGTAGCTATTAATAAGCCATAGTTCTTCTCACTTTGGATCTTATCATGAAAGTAATGGAACAAATTGAGTTAGGATCTTCCTTCAAATTTATCCTTTACCCTATCCCCACATCAACCCTTAATCCAAACAACCAAATATGATTCTGTTTCCTCACTCTATTTTCTCCAATACTAGATGCCTTGCATATGCTTATCTCATTGCTTAGGATGCCAACCGATAAGCCACTGAGATGCAAAACAGGAGCCATGTCTAAAAATTGTATCTAGACTTAGATGAGTAAAAACAAAGAAAATAGATCTAGGCAATTAGAAACCTGGACAATTGCTTCAAACAGAAGATGGGGCATTAAGAAATATATTTCCAATTAAAAATTATACATATATAAGTATATGGGATATTTGTGGCATACTTAGAAGTTTTACTTAATTAGGGTCAAATGCTAGTAAGTGATGCTGTATCACCATTTTCTCCTTTATTTTTTTGACATTACAACTTTAAATGTAAGTATACTCTGAAGCAAGATGGCATAGTGTATAATTACTGCAATTGAAATACTTCATGTATACTTATGATAAAAAGGGACGAATATGTCATACTAACAATTTGTATCTTAAAAACCTAAACTTATAATCTTTCTGCTACTGAATCAGTTCTTTTTTCTCACTTAAAAATTTAATTTTCTTATTATGACTTTTTATTTAAAAATTTAAAATATATAAATAAAAATAAATCTGTATTCATATGTGTATTGAAAAATACTTGTTACTAACATTTTAATTTTGCTTATATCATTCTATGCTTTCACTTATGCAAATGTAATCTTTTTTATTTACAAAACTGGATTGAACAATAATATTACATTGTAAACTGTTATTCTCTAATAAGATATGCTATGTTTATCTTTCCATGACATCACATATTTTTCATGGAATAATTATTCAAGGCTGCATAATATTGCATAATATGAGACTGCTGTAATTTAAATAATAAATTTTATATGACTGGGCATTAAATTTACTTTCATTGTTGTATTATTATAAGAAGTAAACTACAGTAAGATCCTTATAGCCACATAATTGTAAAAAACCTTCCTTCTCCCTTTGGGATTGATTTGTACAGGATAAATTGCTAAATAAGAGGTATGCACGTTCAGTATACTAATAGTGGGTTGTCACATTTGTCTTCAGAAACACTATAACAGATTTATTTTCATTAACAAGAAATGAGAATCCCTGTTTCTGCACTATTGCCAAACTTAGCTACCTAACCATTTCTAAAATGATTCTTTAGATTTTTTCAACTTCTATTTGCAACCAAATTCCCTAAGCCCTTGTCTTTTCTATTCTGGTGTTCTTTTATTTAAATAAAAGAAACTTCCACATGGAAAATATGACTTGTAAGAAATAAGTCCAGAAGCAACCAAATAAGCCTAGAATGCAGGAGCAATGAAAGGGAGTCAGCTTCTGCAAAATTTCTAGGAAGGAAATAACAAAAAGATACAAGAACTTAGCTATGTAATTTTAGAGTGCCCATATCTATTATTTTCTTAGCCAGTAAGGTAGTATAACAAAATCAGAGAAGAGTGTGTGATTGTGTTTTTTCATTACGTCAGTCAACATAAATTGCCTTTATTAAAGAAGAATTAGGTTTACAATCATATAAGGAATTTGTGTGGTAAGATATTAAAATAGAAAATGATAAAATTCTGCAGGATGTTGAGGTTGGACCTTATGATAGTCAAGTGGATAGAACACTTTAAAAAGTAAAGGAAAAATAATAAATTCAAGTGTCTGATTTTTAAAAATTGGTCACAAAAATGATACATTCACAAACCCTTATTAGCAAGAACTATTTAGGCAAGCTGACATTGACATTCAGCTGATATTGGCAAACACAACAGAAACCTGACTATGGTGCATAGTGGGTTAGAATACACAAGACTGTCCTTGTGTCTGTTTTTACACCTATGCAGCCTCACTTCACACATTCTCACAATATCCATCTTAATTTAACCAGGCAACCTGTACATTCACATTTCAGGAGTTTCTAGATCACCACAAAGGGCACTACTTTATGGAATGAGTGTAATTATAGCATTCAATTCTTATCATCTACATTTTCCTTTCTAGAAAATACAATTGTTTCATTTCAGTAAAGCCTGCGTGTGAAATGAAGAACAACCCAATGAATTCTTTGTACTCAGGAAACACATATTACATATAAACTTTTCTTTCCCTTCGGGAATTTCCCAAAATTAAGGAGGGCTTCTACTCTGCCCAGTCAGCTAGGAGAAATGCTTGTCAGTGAAGCAAAAGCAAGACATTTAATTATTTTAACACAAGATGGTAACAGTAAAGGATAAGAAGAAAATACCATCATTAGCTGAGAAGGTAGCACTCTTCCTCCAGCAAGAACTGATCACTCTCATAAAAATATAAATATATTAATCAGGTAAAAAGTATGAGAGAATTGAAAAGGTGGTATCATGTGGTCCTCCATCATTTCTTTAGAAATGCATAATCTTTTCCAGTTAAAGAGTGATCAGGGAAAAGGGACTGAGGCTGGTGTGAAGAGACACAAGGTCAAGACAAAACCTGAGGTTCTTAAACAGGGAGATATTTTCTACGTGTGCTCTAAGGCAACTTCTCACAGCTTTCTCCATTGTTGGAACTGGACTGGAGAGAGAAAGAAATGATTCACTCTAGATTTACACTGAAGAAACCCACCGTGGTTTCACATTAATTAGCAGGTGGTATTTTCCATGGTTAGATAAGAGTGTAACTGTATTTTCTCCACTCTATTCTTTTTATTTTTTAACTCTTTGAAAGTATGCTAAACATCATCCTAGCAATTGTCAAAGCTCTGTATGTGTGGTATATGTATGTGTTTGTGTGTGTGTGTGTGTGTGTGTGTGCATGTGCATGCATCTGCCTGCTTGTATGTGTGAGTGTGATGCTACCTGTGTATAAATATTCTTACAATGACATGGTACTTGACGATTACTATCCTCCATGAGCCATATTTATAGGGAAGATTAATTAAGCAGAAGCCTAACTTTTATAAATAATCTATGTTCCTTTTACAACACGGGTTGTTTAGAGTTGCTGTGTGATCACACATTTGCAGCTTTATTCCTCAGATTTTAATGCTGAAACCAGGCTGTCATTAACACTTGCATTCTCTTATTCTGAGAGAGTGTAACAGTTTGCAGTTTAATTAAAGGGCTATTGGGGGTGGTAACAGTGAGCGAGGTGATGGCGTGGATTCTAGAACATCAGGGTATCCAATAGCCACAAACATATGGTGCTATTTAAGTTGTATCTTTAACCAATTGCAGTTGGCAATCATCAGAATACAAAAGAAGCCAGAAAGGGGAAATAAATGACATCTTTTAAAAAGAGTGAAGGGATTGATTTTTTACATCAGTCACTTGAATGAGTGATTCTCTCCAGAGGGTGCAGGGAGGAGGCTCCTCTCTAAATGCTAGGAGTGTCTATGGATTTGAATAATGGATTAGGAAGTGCAAAAACATCACGATTTTCAGATTTCTCCTGCTGAATCAGGACAGCTTGTCCAAAGCATCAGGGAGAAAGCTATTCTTTACCTTGGAAACACTGCAACAGGGGGCCTGAATAATGACTTTGCAATAGGGAGAGAGTCCCCAAAGACCAATGTTGGATGAGAGTGAGTTACAATGATCAGAGGTAGTTTGCTCTAGGTGGGTGGGCCTTGGAGCACTTTCCTGATTGTCATTTTTATTCCGTTAGGGTGTGTGTGGGGGCAAGGAACTGCAAATTCAGAATGCTTTGGGGAGAGCAGTGTGAGGAGAGGGCTGGGGGAGGGATCTTAATTATTTCCTTGACTAGATGGTTTAATGGTGCCGTCCTTAGAGACCCCCCATGCTGCCAGCTCATTCCCAGAGTGAATATTACTTTAGTAGATAGAGTTCTGAAGTTTGTATGGCGTCTGAATGGAAAAATAGGAAACATTTCTTTAAAAAATAATGACACTCTTCAGACTGCAAGAATTGGGAATTCTGTTAATATCCACTCCTATATCTTAGGAAATAAATACATATTAAGAACATGCTACAGGGACCAATGTAAACAATCAAGGCTCTAACACATTCTTTGAAAAGAAAATATACATATACCTTTACCTTGACCAAATAGGGGAAATGGTGAGCAGAAAGGTCAGCTGTTTGGCAAGAAGAGGAGTAAGTAATTGAGTGGGAGGGGGAGCATAACCAAGTCATTTTCCTCATCAGTGAACAGCACCAAACAGTTGCAGGATGGAAGCCGACAGTGTTTTTAAAACAAAGCAGAGTGAGTAGCCATATGTGAGGCTATGTAAACAGGACACTTTTGATCCCAGGAGTTAACAAAGACAGTGCCAGAAAAATGAGTCACTCAAGCACTGCCACAAAAGCCAAGGCTGAGGTTGGGGCTGAGTCATCTCAGAATCAGATCTAAACTCGTGTCCCTGCCTCCTTGTCCAGGTCCCCTGCTTTGGGCAGGTAGAATGGAATCCTAGCTGTGCCTCCTCTCAACATGGACTGGTGGATAAATAAGCCAAAACATTCAGGAGTTTTGAAAATTACTTTAACTGTAACTTTTCTCAATGAATTAGTCAACCCTTCTTTCCAGGTTGGTATCTATATTTGGGGAGAAACTGTACTCAAAATGAAAGCATACTCCAAGGACTCCTCAATAATAAACTCAAGGAATTATCCACATGCACGTCTGGCCAAATCACCATGATTAGGTGAATAAAAATGTCTACAGAGAACACCTTTCCTCTGCCTCCCTCAGGAAGTCCTTGCATCTTGAAGAGCTGACTTTGGTCTCTGACTTCTAAGTTTAATGCTAGGCTTTGTCATCCAATGTGCCTAAGACAAGTCATTGGCTAAGACACACACATGACCTTCAAAGAACTAATAGTTTTTTTGGTAAGATAAGTTATAGAAACATATAATATTCAAAGATAACAGTTAAGTAAAAGATTTTATTTTGATTCTGTGAATGAATGTATAGACATTGTTGTAGAAGTGGCAAGGAGAACATTTAAAAGAGATACAATATATAAACACATACATACACACACACACACACAAATACAGAAGATTTATGTGTCTGTGTATGTTTAGTCCGAGATGTATTTCAAAAGGAACATGGATGATCCTGAATATCTTCAAAATGGGTCGCATTTAGATAGGTAGAAAGAAAGAAGGAAGAGATTCTATTCACATTGAAACACAGGTAAGCCTTCAGTGCAAAGACAATACCTGTCTTAACCCACATTTAAGTAGGATGCAAGGCAGTTAAAAACGTTCCTTGAATCCCCACAACTCCTTGCAAACTTTACACATAGACACTCTTGAGGATGGTCAACATATAACACATTAGTAGAAGAATCAGAATTTGCAACCAAGTGTTTCCTGACTTCAAAGCCCACAGTGTTGACACTACATGTACTAGATTAAGGCAGATAATTTGAGAAACTGGCAGCTTCGACTTTCTCAATGACTAAAAAGCATGTAGTAAAGTCAAGTAGGCAACAGACGTGCACATTATTAGAGAATTTTTACATGCTCAGAATTAAAACATAGAATTTTTACTTAAATTTAGAAACAATTTTTAATACATGTGCTTTCATTTGTTCTTTTAATTCCAAAATCAAATACTGTCAACCAGCATAACTTCAATTAGAATTCAATCAAGGCTAAAGAATCGCCTCTTTCAGCAAGCCTAATGACTTTCACCTTAGTCTCTACTGTATTAAGATAAGGGAACCCACTATTTTATTTCTAGCCTCTACCTTTGTTTTTCCTTTTCTTTTCCCTTTTTTTTTTTTTTTTAAAAATTTAAGGGTAAAACATAAACACTTAAATAATTACAAAGACACCATTTCCATAGTTGGTGACATGGATCAAACTGTTTTGTTGGTCAGAAAAAACAATACCTGCATGGGACAGTTAAATGTTCCTTTCTGAGTTGCCCTGTGGAAGTCCCAATGTTTGGTGTGTAAAGAAGCCTCAGGTTGTCAAACAATGCACATGTGAAAAAGTAAGGGTTGCAAATATCTAGTAATGCTAATGTTTTTATAAAATGAGTCCTTGCATTTTTAACATTCTGGAAATGTAGAAAGTAATTTATTCTTTTTTAACATAGAATAATTTTGAATTAATTCACTCATGAAAGATACTCTGTTGAGCATGTAATCCTAAACAAAACAGGCTTCCTGCCTTTAAGTGTTTCTCCAAATTAGAATTTTAAAATATGTCTATATTATGTTTGACATATGATATATGTTGCATATATCAATTAACAGAATTATCATATTTTTACAGATTTTGTATGATATTTGAATTCTAATTTTTTAATAGCCTTGGTAGACTAATGGCTCCCTTGGAGCAATAAAATTGCCTTGGGATAGTTGAGTTGGAGATAAATAATAAACTGTATGAAAATAAATTCTAAAGAAATAGTATAAATAGTTCTGTTCTGTCTAAAGTGAAATAGCTATGACCAGCACTCACAGTAGGACAAAAAATATACTTCGGGAACAGAAGTATTTTTTACATTTATATTCTGAAGAATCTTTACTATTAATAGTGACCTACATTTTTGTTACCCAAGGCTAAAGATCTCTATCTATGTATCTACCTTTTAACCATATTTCCAGAAAAGTACATATGTAGATATATATGTAAATATATGTAGGAGGTATGAATTTCAGTCCACAATCACAAGCAGGAGACATCATAGTTTTTTTTTTTTTTTTCCCCTCTTTAAAGCGGATTTAATACCTCAGAATTCTCACCAGTGAAATATAGGAATTTCACTTTGAGTAATTTTGGGTTATTTTCTTACCAGGATTTAAATATGGAGGTGACTGAAATCTTAATTGATGGAGGCTTTCATTTAAAAAATCGCTCCTGTTACTCTATAAAGCTGTGGTCAGTTGGCAGTCCCTGCCCTCTGGCTCTTGAAAACTGCTATTCTTCCAGCTTTGCAACAACATAGATGAACCTGGTGGACGTGATGCTACATGAAATAAAACAGGCAGAGAAAGACAAATACTGTATGAACTCACTTATATGTGAAATTAAAGTCCAACTCATAGAAATGGGGTAGAAGGGTGGTTACAAGGAGTTGGGGAAGTGGGAAAAATGAAAAAATGTTGGTCAAAGGATACAAACTTCTAGATATGTGATAATTTTTGAGACCTAATATGCGGCATAGTGAATACAGTCATCATATATACAACAATGTATTATATACTTGAAATTTGCTAAGATAATAGATCTTAAGTATTCTCACCACACATACATAAAAGGTAACTATATGAAGTGATGGGTATGTTAATTAGCTTGATTGTGGTAATCCTTTTACAGTATATACATATATCAAAACATCACTTTGTATACTTTAAATATACAGTCATGCATTACTTAGCTACAGACATGCCTTCTGAAACATGTCTTTGATTTTGTCTTTGCGTGAACATCATCATGTGTACTTTCGCAAACCCAGATGGTATAGTCTACTACACACCTATACTATATGGTATAACCTATTGTTCCTAGGCTATAAACCTGTACAACATATCACTTTACTGAAGGTTATAGGCAATTGTAACACAATGGTAAGTATTCGTGCATCTAAGCATATCTAACAGAAAGGGTATGATAAAAATATGATATGAAAATCTTATGAGACCACCATTGTATGTGTAGTCTATCATTGCCCAAAACATCTTTATGCAGTACATGGAGTATATAATTTTTATTTGTCAATTATACTTCAATTAAGCTGGAAAAAAAAAAAGAACAAAACTTCTGATCTAAGCTGGTTCTGAGATGACCCTTAAATAATCTTTCCTATTGGCCTTAGAGTCCATAGCTGTTCCTTTATCTGGGGTGCAGGGATGTGCCACTAGTCTCTGCCACTCTGTCTTCTCCTTAATCTAAGGTGAGGTTAAAACTTCCTTTGTTGGATGGAAGCTTCTACCTCCCTTACTTTCACTATTCAAAACACTTCTCTCCATCCCCCTCATCTTCTCCTTTCTGGGCCTTTAGAAATACAGAAACATTCTTAATTTCCTCTGTCATATAAAGAACTTACATGCTATATAATTTGGAAGTTTATTTATCACTAACCCTATTGTGAAAAATATTTGAGGAAGTTTTCTCTATTGAACAATGCCACGCAAGCTATGAATGTACATTAGATCAGTGTACATCTGAGTATGCAATACTTAGAATTTATTTTTAAATATGTTTAACAAGGCAAATCAATTATATTCCAGTCATTTAAAACAAGTATTTATTCCAACAATCACAGTTTTGTTGACTTGAGTTCCTTGTAAACTTTCCTATCATTTCCTTCCCTTCTGCTTCCTGATCAGAGATCAGGCACTGGACAAACTCATGTGTTATGTATTTCTTTTTCTTAAATGAAGGCTTTGCAATTGAATAGTCCAGATAATTAAAATGATCAAACTTTTTGGTATCAGATAGACATATCCTTTTTCAAAAATCATTTGATAGTAGATACTAGGCATCTCAAAGACTTACAGTAGAGAAAAGAAAAAGTGGTTATTAAAATAGCCTTGTACAGTCACTATGAACAGAATTTTTAACACAAAAACATAAAAGGAGTATGATGTTTACAATCCACAAAGATGCTTTAAATAGAGTATTTCTGTAATGTAACATCTTGTGTTTTCATATTTCCCATCATATTCAAAAATATTCTTCAACATAAAGAAAAAGTCCAATATATTTGCATACTAAGAATTAAGAGTTGAAAACATCAGATAATAAGAAACTGAAATAACAATATACAATGTTTTAATTTCAATATATTCTAAAAGTGGGTGTTTATACTTATAAATTGATGTATAAAGAGTTACTATCAAATTCATATTTTAAAAAATAAAAAATACCAATGCTCTGTTTAAATGCTGGCATTATAAGGATTAAGCTGTAATTATTTTCTTGAGGACCTGTGGGTTTTGAAGTGATACATATGCCTATATACAATTATATAGAGACAGGGAAAAAGACTAGGCAAAATAGTATAAAAGTATAATGAATCTAGTAATAGCTAAACAATTAAGGCCTTGTTTATACATCTATAGATAAGCAAACTTCACTTTTTAAAATGATATCTTGCTTTCTTTAGAATCACTTATATTCAAAATGATTAAGCATTTTAATTTTTATAGTTATACTTGAATTTTATCCATGTTACACTTCCCTGAAGAAGCAACAGTCTTGGGGAGAGGGATAAGTTGTTTGGAGTTGCTTCAGGCAGCATTTTCCTCATTTATTTGATAAATATTTATTGTGTTAATTACCAAGCATACAGTTGTGAATAAGACACAGTTTAATCCCTCACGCAATCAAAACCAGGTCACTATTAAATTAACAATGATTATGCTTCAAAGCATATATAGACACAATTTCTTGATATTGAATTAACCAATTGCTTTTCCTAGATCTGCATACTGGGAACACATCAGTACACAGACATTTTATTTCTAGCGGTGATCTTGGCTATACATTAACTCTTTCACTACATATTATGCATATCTTATTGTCTCCATGGTTCTATTATTTAAGGAAACCTAGACAATTCTTCTAAAGGTAACTGGATAATTCAAATAAGAAAATTCAAAAAAAGTTGAAAAGGGATATTTTACATTTAAAAATGGGTCATAGTCAGTTTATTGTCTACTCCTAAAGTTCAATTTTAAAAGGTAAATTTTTTCTTATACAGTTTATAATATTTTGAGAATAGAACAGAAGTAGAGGTTGTTAAAGTAAGCTATCACTGTATAACAAACAAAACCAAACTTAACTGTATAACACAAAAATCATTTTATTATGCCCATATGTTTTGTGGTTTACGACTTGAGAAAAGGCACAGTGCAGATGTCACTTCTCTGTTCCACAATGTGTGAGTTTTCAGCAGGGAAGACTAAAAGACAGAAGGCGGCATGAAGTCTGGGACTGTAAACATCTGAGGACTTGCCCTCTCATAGGTCTAGATGTTGATGTTGACTCTTGGCAGGAATTCACTGGGGCTGTCAGACAAAAAAGGAACACGAGGTCTTTCCACATTGTCTTCTTCACAGCCTGGTGACCGAATTTCGCGAGTGAGCGTCTGGTCAAAAGTTGTATCTCCTCTTATGACCTAGTCATGTGGTTTCTATCTTGCCACAGACACAGACCTACACAAATACAAAGAGACCAGGGACCCCATATTTTAATAAAAGGATGTGAATGGCACAATGTCAGCATAACATGGAGAATAAGATATTTCGTTGTAGCCACATTGGGAAATCCAATCTCCCACAGAAACACCTGAAAATTAAAGTCTTGTATTCTCCTCAGGTTTTGTTTATGGTTGTGCTTGATTTTTTTGAAAGACTAAAGTACTTAACAACAAGTACTATAGTATAATATTACATGCGTATAATAAATAATTGTATTGTTATTTTACTCTTATTTTAGATTATAGGTGGGAGAATTGCTCCAGAGATGTGATTTTTATGACTCAGTGGATCGTAAACAAATTTAGTATCTAAAATCTTAAAGAATAGTGTTTTTAAATAATTGAAATTTATATGTTAGAATAAAATCTGAAATATTGGAATACTTTGTACATAATAAGATTTAAGTGTCACTTCAGGAAACCTTTGTTTCAAATTTGTGTGTATATGTGTGTGTTTGTGTATTTGGATATGAGTTCAATGTGTCTTTCTAGTTTTCAGTCAAAGATGTCTGAACGCCACTTCTCTAGACTATAGGAAGGGGCTTCTAGAAAAAATACTATAAATTGTGAATTAGGAAATGAAGTAATATTATTAACCAACCAAGATTGTTGCATGTAAACTGGATAAAATTTGGCTACTATTTGTTAGTAAAAATTATTTTACTTTTAAAATCAGACCCTTTCTCCTACAGAGATCACAAAAAGAGTCTACTGTCTCCTCAGGGTGTCTTAAGTTTAGTGATAAAAAAATTATTTACAGATATATCCATTTTTCTCTTCTTCACTTCTGCATTAGGGAAGAGAGTGATGGAAAAAAGATAAAAGCAACTTAAAGTGTCTAAAGAGCACTAAAGAACAAGGTTAAAAGGATAGAGAATATAGCCCCTGTTTTATTATTTCTGAAAGCCCATTCCTACTGGATCTATCATTTGCTGGGATATCATAGGACATACTCTTTATGATCATTCATAAATGGGGATCTGATGGTGTATTTTGTCACTTTGGCCCATAAATGAATCCTGTCCAGAGTTAAAGGGAAAGGGGCATAAATGAATGATACATATAGTTGATAGTGTTCCTAGTAGGATTTTCCACATGAGAAAACATTTTTTAAAGTAGTCTGTGATAAACAACATCCAGGTCTAATCTACTCTTCATGCATACATTTGCCTGAGTTCCCTAGATTAAAACTTCCTATTAAGTAGCTGTCTACATTTGGAAATATGTCCAATAAACTGCAAGGCCATGACTTGGAAAGACTCAAGACCTGGTCTTTCCTTAGATGAAATCAACTCTACTCTAAAGCTGATTGCAATTCTGGTACCCTCAGACACAGTAAATATGAATTAGTTAATTATGATCATTCATTCATATTTTCATGTGTTCAACAGTTCATCAAATGTTTACTAAGTGCCTACTGTGTGACAGGTGTCATACCATACTAGGTAATGTAATAGTAAACAAAACGAGTAATTTTCTTACTCTCATGCAGTTTGCATTGAAAAGTTTAATTGTAGATAATAACTATGAGAAGCAATCTTTCTGTAATATTTCAAGTGTTTTTTCTTATCTTTGTGCACATAAATGTTACTGTCTCATATGTTTTGTATCAAAACAGTCATCAAGTCACCAAGAGTGACACTGCATATGTATTCTGATAGATTAAGTTATAGGAATATATTTTTGTTTGTTTATAAAACTTATGAAGTACTTCAAGTGAAATGAGTATCAGCAAGATAGTTGATAATTCTATGGAGAACTTTTTAGCCAAAGCATTAACTCATACATTTTGATTTTATGTCACTAACATAATTTATTGTTGGCACCTAAAGTTTTTGGATTTGTTTCATTGTTCTTTTGAAGAGGAATTATGGGGACATTCTCAGGTGTATCTTAGTGGTTGTTTAAACTTATATAATTTGTATCAAGGGCACTCTTTAATAGAATTTTGTTAAAAGAGAAAGTAGTCCTGCTTCTCAGAATGAATCAATTGCTTTTAGAGTTTATATACAAAATGGAGAGGAATAGTTTTTGAAATAAAATGAATGTGTGTGTGTGTGTGTGTGTGTGTAGACAGAGAGAGATTAATCAACTTACTCTTCTTGTGTTTTAGTTCTGAAATTGGTATTGGTATTATTGCTGTTTTTTTCCTCTGGGGAAAAATTACTTAGTACCAATTGTTAAATACGTGTGACTGAAAGTCACATTCAATAAATAGATATTTTTACCCTAACTGATTTCAAATATATCTATAGGATAATGAACAAGGTGATCATACCAGTTTTCCTAGAAAAGCTCCAACTTATATCAGTATTTTCAGAGTAATTATGAAATGTGTCTTTTTTAATTCTTAAAACCATCCTGATTTGGGCAATGAATCTTACGGTCATCTTACTAGTGAGAGACTGGGGAAGTTGAAAATTTAATGTGAAAAATTAAATTCTATATAATTTTATCTTTTGTGCATAAGAGAAGATAGAAATTGCTGATGCTCCACAAAATAATAAATTATGAGTTTTAATTGTGAGGAATGTTTTCTACATCGAGACTTCTAGATTGATGCTCTGATCTGCATAATTACCAACATTCATTTTGGTGAAAGCAAGTGACAGTGAGAGGAGAATCATTTGAGGCCAAAATTTTGGGATTGCTGGTCCCAAAAGTTCAATCCTGTAATTAAGTTCATATATAATATCATGTCTTCCTAAACAAAATATTACAAAAACAGAAGTGGCACTGGTGAATCTTAAAACTTCCTAGTCACAAGAAGATATGCTGCATGATGAGATGGTGAGGGTAGGGGAATCAGAACCTAGATTTCAATCCTCACTTTGCCAATGGAAGTGGAGTTGGATAACTTTGGAAAATTACTCATCTCTTTTGGGCCTCAGTTTTTACATCTTTTAAATGAAAAAGACTCCATCCAGAGTTTTCAGTCTGTGTGTGTGTGTGTGTGTGTGTGTGTGTAGGGAGGCTGTAGAATATCTAGAATCTCTTTCTTACAACTATATCTCAGGAGAATTCCTAAAGCAGGGGAAGTTGATTAAAGTGAGCTACATTGATTGAAAGGGAAACAGGGGTACCTGGAACTCTGTCCTATTGGACTTCTCCTTACCTCCTCTGGTGAGTTGTGAGAGCTCTAAGGAGCACAGATTTTTTAAATGCTAGAAAAAAATAATAGCTAAAGTGCTTTCTTTATCAAAATTTCCTAGGCACGGAGATTTTACTCTGTGCAAACACTAGTGTTCTACTATGTTATTCAATGGTTCAGCAGGACCTCAACCACCATTCATAACTTTAAAACAATGGTAAGAAATGAACAGTTTTTCAGTGATTAATCATAATGAGGCATTGAGTTTATATAGAACTTATAAACTCACTCTACACTATAGTGTATCTTTTTTTGTACCTCAACAGCAAATATAGATGGTTGAAAGGGAAAAAAGAAAGCATTATTAGTTCTGCTTTACAGATGAGGAAACTGAATCTCAAAAGTGCAAAGAAGTATGTGCCCTGACAACCAGCCATTGGGTGAAGAATGTAATTCCTATTGTTTCTCTATAAAAAATATCTTATTTCATAATCAAAAGAATAAAAGAATAAATGCAATTATTTGATTGAAGGACCTAAAAAAGATGGAGTTAAATATCTTATTGTTTAGGAAGAGGATAAGTTTCCAAAACCACAAAATCGGTGGCAAAGAAGGAAAGTCATGGGACTTTTAAAATTTCCTCTTGCTGAAAAAGTAACATAACAGAGAAGGTACAGTTGATTGCTAATCAAGTAGATAAGGAAGTCATATGAAGACATACATTATCAGGAAGTCAGTTTTAGTACTATATTACAAAAGATACCATAAGTGGTATCAGTGGTTACTCATTGTGTTTTCTTTTCAAAGTTCCTGCTTCTATGGAAATATAATTTAGCAAGAGAAATATAGCCATACATTGCTGTGATAGGGAAGTGAATATGAGAGAAAATGGAGAGAGAATTAATATTGAAGTGGAAACAATGTATCAGAGGACAGAAAGCTTAGATATGTTTTGCTACAAAATAACTCAGTAATTTGAGGACAATGTCTCTAAATTTTTATAAATCTCAGTTTCCTAATCTAAAACATGAAGGTGTTGGACTTAATAATTTTTACTTCCATTTTAGCGCAAATACTTTCTCAGTTTTGAGTCCTCCTTAAATAACTTGAAATGTCTACTGACATAACTTGGGAGATCCAAGAGAAAATGCCAAGAAGTTTTAACCATGCTGTAGTGACACATATTTGGAAAAATGCATTCACTTCCTTGCAAGTAATATCAGTGATCTACTTGGTGAGATTGAGATGTATCTTCTGTCAGGAAATCTTGCCCACCCTTCATTATGCTTATGCTGGTCAAGCTCTTTTGGTGGCAAATGACAATAAACACAGCTCAAAACAAAGTAATCAATAAAGGGAACCCATTGTCTTACATAACAAAAAATGTCTAATGTAAATATGTTAAGATTTAAGGAGGGAACTCCAATAGTGTCATAAGAACACAGTCTCTATTCTTGATTCTGCTTGTGTCTCTGTGGCATTTATTTTCAGGTTATACAAAGTCTTAACATGACAGCCAAAGTCTTAACTCATGAGTTATTCTAGATTCAGATTTCCCAGAATCTTCCAAGTAGCTCCAGTACAACTCCCCGAATTCACAGAAATTGGAACATTTTGGCTTTATGCTCTCATCCATTAGTCAATCAATATTGCCTAGGGAATGAATTACCCTAACTAGGCAGGCCTACTACAGAGGTCAATATTAATTTTCATGGACTATACTGTTACTAATCAAGCAGGTGTCAATTTCTTAAATTGATTTAAAATTGCAACAGATCTTTGGGTAGAACTTTTCATAAATAAAGCATTTCCTGCTTTATTTGTCACCATAGCATCTATCATTACCTAATATACATATTTTGATT